TGAATGTTAAGAGAGGACCTGAGATTTTGCATTCCTGAAGGGCTTGGGCTTGGTTACCTTTGTCCTTCCTATCTCACAGCCACCAAATTTAGTCATTGAAAGGTGCTGACCTTTGCTCCCCCTGCTGGCTGCATTAGTTTTCTCAATCATATTCATTAATTTATGAAGACCAAACATATTTATTGAAATCACTATTTGGTACCAGGCAGAGGAGAGGGGGTGATTTACAAAAGTATCATTCATTTCCCCCTTTTTTCCCTCCCCTCTCCACACCATCTTATTATCCTCACAAAGTATATTTAATTCTGAGCTCCTTGAAACCATAAAAATTTGTGAATGTGTGTTTTTCTGGGAACGGGGTCCCTAGATTTCATCAGCTTATCAAAGAGGTCTTCTGTAACTTAAGGTATTAACTTTAACTGATCCAGGTCAGGCCTCTCATTTCTCTGATGAAGAAGCAGAGTCCCACAGAAAGGTAGGATTTGTATTAATGGCTGATCCAGATTATAATAAAGGGGTTTTGGAGTTTAGAGATATTTTCTCCTGTAGCATATGAGTTCTTTGTAGTGACTGTGCTTTCACATTTTTATCTATGCCAGATAGGAAGATTCTTCCTGCCGGTCTCTTCCTGACATCACTTCTTTCTTCCTAAGACTTGTGTTCAGTTTCCTCTTTATAGCCAGTGTTCGGTCTCATTGCATCTGGGTTATGCTCCATGGTACCTATGGCTTAGTCTTTCCTGAATTGTGCTTGAATCCAAGCAAACCTTGGGTAGTGTATAAAAACTATGCTTCCTTGTCAAGTCGTTGAGTTAATTCTTTTCATTTGAGGTGGCAAATTGGAGCCCTCAAACCCAGAGGAGCTTTTCATTTTAAAGAAGTTGGCACAGAATCGGAGCAAAATACCTGCCTAGCTACGTGGACCTGGGAGTCATATCTAGGAATTTTTCCTTCTAGTTTATACTGTTTTGGTTTTACTTTATAAATAGGGTTGAGGGAAGGGCATCTTGTTTCTTCTTGTTCAAAACCTATTGCCAAGCAGGGTACTACTTTTGGCATGGCCATAAAGATTTCTTTATAAGTGGAAAATGAAGAACTTTCTAGGAATCTCAACCGTATTCTTAGTTGTGCCCTTTCAGCTCTGTGAGTGGCATCCTCCAACTCCACAAAGCCTTCTTGGCTGTGTTCCCTGCCCCCACCCCCGTGAATTAAATAAAGTAACCAGTCTTAGCTCTCAAATACCCTGTCTGCCTGCTGCAAAGACTTACCACCCCCACCCCCATCCTCTTCTGGTGGCATTCCATGATCTTATCCCAGAGTGCCCTCTTACTGTATACATTGTGAACTGACTTCATTCAGTGCTTTTTCAGAGCCCATCTCCCCTAGTTTGACTTAGAAGACACACAAATAGACGGCTTTTATCCAGAGCTGCCTTTTTAATATTTTTGCCGGCTATAATCCTGAGGAAGCCCTGCAGGTCATTCGAAGGCCCATAGGGGGCAGCACTAGGAATGACTTCCCCCTCTAGTCCCCTCCGTGCTGGGGGTGGGGTACTGGGAGATAATGTTTTTCACCAGGCTTCAGAAAGCCTCTGATTGAGATCAAAGACTCCTTTGCAGCAGGCTAGTTGCTTGTTCCGTGTTGTTTCAACTCTCCTGAGGAGCCCAGTCTCGTTTTCTTGATAATAAAAACATACAAGAAAATCTGTCTGAGCCACCCAACCTCCCACAAACCAGTCTGCCTACATATCATTTCCAGGCACTATTAGCATTTGAGGTGAAGTTCTGTTATACACTCAGGCTGTGGCTCTCTGAAAGTCAGTGCATCACAGAACTTTGTCTCGAAAGCTTTCTAGCAGCTACACATTCGGGAGCGGGAGGGAAGAATAGACCTTTTAAATCCTTTGAACATGGCCCTAAGCTTGTAGGGTCTTTTTCAGTAATCAGCATTTAATGTGTTATAAGGTCAAGCCTAGTCCATTGTCCAGGAGGCCCATTTCTCAATAGCTGGGAGTTATTTATAAACTTACCCTTTGCAAAAACTTAAGATGAAATTACATTATCAGTAATGGCTTCTGGGGCCTCTAAATTGGCTGGTTTTATGGTAGGAGAGGAATTCTTGGCCTCCCCCCTTCAGTGAGGTAAAGGCCCCCGGCTGAAGTGGAACCAGCAGTAGTCAGGAGGTGGCAGGAGAAGTAAAGGAGAAGCTGCCGGCTCCAGCTGTCGCAGAGTGGAGAATTAAAGCAGCATTTAGACTCATGCCTAAATTCTTGGCTTTGTGTAGGGTGGCTTTATCCCTTTGGAAGTTTGAAATGACCAGCCTTTTTCTCTAACGCCTTCTTACCTCTTTCAGAACTGTAGTAAATCAGATCGTTCTTCTGCCTGCCTGCCTGCCTTTCCCTGTCTTTTATCCTTCCCAGTAAGCTCCACTTCCTATTTGGGGGCTTTCCTTGATAGCCTCTCCTAGGAAGCCAGTGAGAAAAGCTAGGAGTGGAACCTAGGGATCTGTTTCTTTGCCAGCAGTTTTTAGGCACTTCTACCCTGTTGGCCACAAAGGGCATTGTTTCTCTCCTAGTTGGCCGTGGCTATAGGGTTTTTCTTTTCTTTGGGATCCATCCCATTCTTTCTAGGAATGCCAGACTCAATGGCTACAAGAACCAGTTACCTATGGCCAGATCAGTGCCCAGTTTAAACCATTAGGAATCTCTCCAAGGTTCCTGTGAATGTGGAGAGAGGAACAGAGCCAAAGATTTCCAGGGAAAAGGTTGTAGGAAAAATGATCTCTTCTAAATTTCTTTCCCTGTGGGCTTCTTTTCCTCGTTAAGGAAACTCATTCCCATGGGTGCATCCCTTTTGGTGAGTGGAGGATCCAGTGGCTATAGAATTGTGCCTGCTTTATGGGAAGATCTTTCTGTGGGGTATAGAAGTTAGGAAAGCTTCTCTGTTTGTGACCTTTTAGATGATATTCTAGGGGACTTCCCTCTGCTAGACACAGTTCCTTAGTTTGAGACAGAGTATTTATTTCAGGGAGTAATGTGTATAGGGTGAGCATCTCTAAGGAGTGTTTATCAGAGGAGAGATATGTTGGTAGTAAGATCACTCAGAATGGCCACACCAGAACGTCTCCCTGTATTTGGAAGTCTCATTATAGGAGGGTCCCTTAGATGCTTACTGCTTCAAGAAATTTTACTTTATTCTCAAACTTCATTAATTCTCATAATCATTTAACAAATACCGAAAGTTTTAGTGTATATCACACAATCTTTAGGACACTTGGAATAAATCAGTGAACAAAACACAAAATTTGCTGTTCTCAAGAATTCAAGTGGGGGAAAGCTTACATTCTTCATCACCCTGTTGTCAAAAGACTGGGTTCCCTATACTCTCATTTTTAACTCCCCGAGGGTGGGGTTGGTTCTTTGCATGGAACCATAAACCTCCTGAAACCTCATGGGACAGTTTACCTTTGTAGACGTTGCAATTTCTGGATCCTTGGCAATAATTCTTTTATCCTCACTCTTGGGTCTTTATTAAACTTAGGCTTGGAGATTATTTAGCCCCTGTGAGGACTGTGGGTTTCCTAAGTAAGGCCAGGAAACGGAGGCAGCAAAGCAATAGCCCTTTCTCATAGCACAAGGGAAGGATATCAATGGTAGGTAATGTTGATTAGAAATTCAGGGAATGTTGGGGCACCTGGGTGGCTCAGTGGGTTAAAGCCTCTGCCTTCGGCTCAGGTCATGATCTCAGGGTCCTGGGATCTAACCCCACATCAGGCTCTGCTCGGCAGGGAGCCTGCTTCCTCCTCTCTCTCTGCCTGCTTGTAATCTCTGTCTGTCAAATAAATAAATAAAATCTTAAAAAAAAAAAAAAAAGAAATTCAGGGAATGTGAATTTCAATTTCAATTCAGTTCATGCACCAAACTGGCTCAATTGGTAGAACATGTTACTCTTAATCTTGGGGTTGTAAGTACTTTGGGTGTGGAGACTGCTAAAAAAAATATAAAAGAAAGAAAGAAAGAAATTCAAGAAATCTGAGCTTGCAGACACCTTCCATATACATAACACTGCCTCCCTTTCCTTCCTCTTCGTCTCCTGGTTAGCTCGTTCCCTAGAAGTTGCAGGAGTAGAGGAGCTTCTGCAAAGTGATATGTTTTGTGGTTGTTTGAGTGTAACCATTAAGACTGAGGCTGTGGTTCCTTTATGAGAGCCATTATCCTCAAAATTTGATTTTGGGTAGTAAAAGAACACTCCCCTCCTGCTCATTATATCTAGGTTCGAGGCTTCTTAGATCCTCTTCTTACTGCTTCTTAACTACCCCCAAAATCAGATTGGTTTATGTCTTGTAAGTTAAGTGGTAGTGGTTGGGGGTGTAGTAGGATTGGGATCATAGGGGAAGTCTTGGAAGATGGATGTCTCACTGGGTTGCATTCAGAACTGGTGTGTCTGTGTGCATGAGTGTGTGCACACGTATGCGTGCTCATTTCCCTCTGCCCAGTGTGTGGGTGGTTTAGGGAAGGCTTGCTTTATGCCTCTGCATTGCTACTGCATTGGGACTGCAGAAACTTCTAAGTACACTAGGGCATTCAACCCTATTTTCAGATAGCCTCGTGCAGTGCCTACTAATTAATCTGGTCACATTCCATACCTACCTGTGCATGGGAGACCAGGGAGGGAGAGTAATTTGGAAAATAACTGTAGCATAATATTTGGAAATAACAGCATGACCTACCTTGATTAAACTGTCTGTGTGTCTGGCTCAGAGTAACTGCTTCTCTGATGCTGCTTTGGAGTCCTTTGTTGAAATGCCCCCTCCCTCAATTCAGTTCATGCACCACTTGATCATTCTCAGTGTGAATTGCCTAAATCTAACCAGGTTGGGATAGGGGACATACAGAGGCACCTCTGCATCCCCTTGCAGCCCCAGCGGGATGAGGGGAAGGTATCTGTTTGTCGGTGGTAGCAGGAGCCTTCAGGACTGAAGGTTATGTTCATATCTCTTCAGGAACCTTCCCTGTATACTGTCAAAGCCATCCTGATTCTGGACAATGATGGAGATCGACTTTTTGCCAAGGTGAGATTCCCTTTGAAATTCATTTAGGAGCAAGACAAAGACTTACTCTGAAATTTGGATCTAGGGACTGCTCCTATTATCTCATATTCTTGATACCATAATTTTGAGAATCCTTCCATTTTCCTGTGCCTACTCCAGATAAAACCCAAACTGCTTCTGTGTCTTAGTTGCCCTGCTTCCATACTTGCGTCCCACAGATTTTGACCTCCTTTGTTGTCAGCATCAGATCAGAGAAAAGCTTGGGGACCTTGGTTTCTGAACAGTACAGTGCCTGGGTGTGAGAAGCAGATTGTCTGTGCCCATCACTCCTGTCCCTTTTCCTTCTGCCTTTTTGCCCTGCCTGGGCTTTTCCAGGGAATTCTCTTGTAGTTCCAGGGTTCTAGCCCTAGGTCTGCAGTCACCACCAAGCTTATTACCTCCTGACATCCCTGTGTGGTGTTTCTAACTTTGGATCTATTGAAAGAGAGGAGAAAGGACACCCCTCTCCTCTCCCTCCATATCCTCCCCCTCCTGTGGAAATTTTTTCTGTCCCTGGTGTATTAACTCCGGGCGAGCACAGCATAAATCAATCAGCAGGTAGAGATTAGTTTAGAATTCACCAGCTGTTCCTCCCTGTAATTGGATGTAACTATGCAGGACACCTTTTGAAACAGTTATCCAGTTACTAAATGCCAGACCTGTCATAGGTCTTCAGCTGACTGCGACGGATTAGCCCCTAAAGAGCAGAGCGATTTAGCAGCCTGTATCTCCACCCCGTGCCAGGGAAGGCTTGGGAGTGGGCTCAGCAATGTGCTAGATTGTCTCCTGCTTCTTGCAGTTTGCAGAAAAGAGAGCTAAGATGGAGGGATTGGGTAGGCTTTGCCTTGGTTTCTGCAGCCTTTCCCCATTCCTCAGCTTCATACTGTGAGTGAGGGTCTGAAAGAAGCATTCTGTGCTTCTAGTGCTTTTTGTGTTCCCTAGCACTGCTCCCTAACATGGGTAGCTCTTAGGGCGCACTTGATGAGCTTCATCTAGAGATTGCTATCCTGGAATGCAGACGGGGGCAGGGCTTCATCATAGAGCTTGCAGGCCTCTGCCCTATAGTCTTAGAAATGTGAGGTGGGCATGCTTACGGCAAGGTCTTTAAAAGGGTTTTGGTTTTTTTGTTTCTTCTTCTTCTTTTTTTTAATATTTGCTTACTTACCGGCCATTCCCTACCTCCATAGTTCTTCCTTCTTCATGTCAGTATTTTTCCCTTACCCCATGCCTTGAAGGAGAGAAATCCAAGATCCAGGGCAAAACACAGACACTAATCATTCTGGGCTCCCAGCTCTAATGACCCAACCCATCTCCTTTCTCTCTGACCAGTACTATGACGACACGTACCCCAGTGTCAAGGAGCAAAAGGCCTTTGAGAAGAACATTTTCAACAAGACCCATCGGACTGACAGTAGGTCATTTTCCTTTCACTGCTCCCCGTGTTGGGGGATCCATGGCGGGCAGGGGGTGGCAGCAGGGCTGCAGAGAAAGGATAAAATGACTGCCTCCTTTTTCTTTGTCTTCCTCCTCCCCTCATATAATAAACTCTTCGGAATGTAATGGGGAGGTGAGTGTACCTCACGCGGGAATACCGTGCTGGAAGGTTGGCTGTTAGCTACCTGTCTAGTCCCTGGATTTATGAGCCTCACTTGACAAATTTAACTGCAGCTCTGCTTATTGTACCGCATCCATTAGGGCAGGTAAATGGAAGTCTGTAAAGGTGACCGCTCTGCATTTTCACCTCCGAAGGATCGACTAGTATCCTGTCTCATATACAAGGCGGGAAATAAGGGTAGTTGGTAGGGAGGTGGTTAGAGGAGAAGATACACTTCAATTTCCCCAAGTTTGTACTTCCCTTCTTCTGCTACCATGGGGAAGAGAAAAGCAGGTCAACTTTGGTCTTTGGGCGTTATTATGACCTACCTTACTTCAGACCAAACAGCTGGATGCCCAGAGTTCATGGTAACTCCTTCTATCCTACTTTCTTATCTCAGGCTATCCACTGTTTCCACCTTTCCTTCTCCCACCCCCAGGTGAAATCGCCCTCCTGGAAGGCCTGACAGTGGTATACAAAAGCAGTATCGATCTCTATTTCTATGTGATTGGCAGCTCCTATGAAAATGAGGTGAGAATTCCACCCCTCTTTGCTATCTCTGATCCCACTTTCTAAGCCATAAGCGGGGCATAGTATGGCGTCGGGACCCTAGAAGTGCCCCGTCCCTCTGGCTTCTGACTGGCCTAATGAAGTTGTCAGAGATCTCTGCTGACCTGACAAACATGGCCTAGCAAATAAATCAACCTAGAGTGGAAATTTTCACCAATTGCTTTTTTCTTTTGTCTTTTTTTTTTTTTTAAGATTTTATTTATTTATTTGACAGACAGAGATCACAAGTAGGCAGAGAGAGAGAGAGAGAAAGAGAGGAGGAAGCAGGCTCCCTGCCGAGCAGAGAGCCTGATATAGGGCTCAATCCCAGGACCCTGGGATCATGACCCAAGCTGAAGGCAGAGGCTTTAACCCACTGAGCCACCCAGGCACCCCTCTTTTGTCTTTTTTTAAGTTTTATTTATTTGAGTGATCTCTATACACAACATGGGGCTTGAACTCACAACCCTAAGATCAGGAGTTGCATGGTCCTCGGACTGAGCTAGTCAGGTGCCCCCCGAAATTGCTCTTGCTCTTTTATCTCCATGTAGGAGACACCGTATGTATTTTAATACATACTAACATGTATCAGTGGCCTTCGCTGTATAGTGTTTTTAAAGATGGATTTCTTTGTTCTTTCTTTCTTTTTTTTTTTAAAGATTTTATTGAGAGAGGGGTGCCCCACTTCGGGCTCTCTGGTCAGCAGGGAACCTGCTTCCTCCTCTCTCTGTGCCTGCCTCTCTGCCCACTTGTGATCTGTCTGTCAAATAAGTAAATAAAATCTTAAAAAAAAAGAAAAAAGATTTTATTGAGAGAGAATATGCATGTGTGCACACACGATGGGGTGTGGCAGGGTCGGGTGGGGGCAGAGGGAAAGAGAGAGAGAATTTCCAGTAGACCCTGTGCTGAGTGTGGAGCCTGACACAGGGCTTGATCTCACGACCCTGAGATCATGACCTGAGCCAAAACTGAGTCGAACACTGAGCCACCTAGGCATCCCTTATAGATGGATTCCTGAGGTTTGGTCAGGGTTGGGGGGATGCTTCCTCCTGCTATGAAGGGTCCATACCTGACTGAGTTTGGGTCAGTTATCAACATTTGGGGTCATGTTGAAGCTACACATTCTGAATGGATCAGCCTGAGAAGCCTGTGGGTATAGTCCTAACCTGTTTTCTGGCACAGGAAAAGCTACTTACCTCAAGTAGCAACATCTAGGAGAAAAGATAAGTAAAAATAAGCCCCCACATAACTTGAAGCAAAAGTAAATGTTTGAGAGAACCAGTTCTTTTGAAGCTCTTATTACTTTAAATCTTTTGTAAGATGCATTGTTACCTAAATCTTACAGCACTTCTGTGAGTTGTGGGCATTAGTGCCCTTGTTTTGTAGTTGAGGAAACCAAACCATGAGGAACGATATGAAATTACTTGCATATGACCACTGTTGAACTACAGAAGTGGCAGTTTCAGCCTAATAACTTTTCCAGGGTCACACATCTAGAAATGGCTCAGCTGGGATTTAGCCCAAATCTGTCTGATGCCAAAGGCCATGCTCTTTCCACTAACCCTCTGGCCTTAGCTATTGTTTGGCTAATGATTTCTTTACCTAAGATACCAAGTAACACATACACAGTTGGCAAAGACATGTAGAGGACTGTGATGGTAAAGTTTTGAACAGTCTGGTCAAAGAGAGACCTCAAATTGTGGGATTGTGTAGCCGAATTTATTTCTGTGAGAAACCACAGGTCCTCTTCCTGTTTTGCTCTCACTTCCACCTTATGCTTTTGGTCTTTTGTGAAAGCCTGTGTATTTTGATGCTTAATGAATTAGTGGGTTTTGTGTTCAGGTAACAGTTTTCAGGGCCTTGAACCTTATCCTTCTGCTTCTTCTGTTTCCCAACAGCTGATGCTCATGGCTGTTCTGAATTGCCTCTTTGACTCATTGAGCCAGATGCTGAGGTGAGCAAGGCCATTCTTGACATCTGTTTGGGAGATAAAGTCACTATTCATCAGGCCCAGGGGTTTGTGGGGGGAATTAGCAGAGGCTCCAGGGAACTGATTTACCTTGAGAAGTTAGGCTTATTATTTCAGAGTAATTCGCACTGATAGGGGAGACTGGATGGAAAGTACTTCCCTCCTGTGGGATAATTCTCCTAAGAAAGGGGACTGGGCAGGAGCAATGTCTCTCTACTCTCTTATTATCCAGTCTCTCAGAGTTCTGAGCACTGGTAAGGTGCTTTCCTAGACTTCATTAGAAGGTAGGAAAGGGCAAGCATAGGAAAATGTCCCAGGTGTAACATTAGTGCCTTGGGAATGGAGGTAACATTCTCAGTTTTTAACTTTAGCTCATAGGTTTTCCCTTCTTTAGAACAGAAAGAATATGCCATTTTCCCTCTCTTTCCTTTCCACCTCCCTAGCAGCCCTGTTTCCCACATAGATGGGCAACAGAAGAGATATAAGATACTTTTCCTGAAAACATAAAGGAGTGTGAACTTCATTCCCCCAGCAGCTCCCAAGTGAACCCAGTACAGACAGCCATCCGCCATCCGGAGCAGAACAGCAGGCGCTCTCAGCCCCACAAAATCAGCAGGGCAATGGCTCACATTTCCTCAGGAAGGGGATGATTTATTTCTTAGCCAGGTGAATGAATAGACTTCATTTCGTTGATCTAGTGAAAGAGTCAAACTGACGGATGTGACTGGCCACGTGCACAACCACCGGATCTAAGGCTGGTGGATGAGGGCCCTGACTGTTCCCAGCCCCCTAGTTGGGCTTCTTTTCAAGGCCTGAGAAGAGATGGTGAGGGAGGGGGAGAAGGGGGGATCGGAGAGAGGCTTAGAAGGTTTGTCAGAGCTTAAGTGCAAAGAGAATTTGCACTCAACTCCTCTCCACGTCCTGCCACCTCCAGATTGAGTTTAGCTGTTTGTTTTCTTTTTTCCACTCACTGATGTCCTTGTTCGTGAGCAGTGTCAGTAGCTGTATTACGGTAGGTAGGGAAGAAACTAGCTCTGGATAATCAACTCTTGAATAGTCAGAAATTGCCTGTATTTTTTTAATCTCTTTCCTGACATTCCTGATACTTAGTCAGTAACCAAGAGTAATAAGAGGTTTAGAGTGGATAAGCCAAAAAGTACTTATTTACTTTTTAGTGTGTGTGGCTGGTGCAGATATTTTATTGGTCTAGTTTTGGATCTCCAACTCAGACAATGTCCTAGGATTCCTTTTATACATGGGCTGATTTTTTCTCTTCTCTTGGGGACTCAGGAAAAATGTAGAAAAGCGAGCTCTGCTGGAGAACATGGAAGGGCTCTTCTTGGCTGTGGATGAAATCGTAGATGGAGGGTGAGTTTTCTGACCTGCCTGGACCTCCTTGGATTTCCGGTACGGGAGTGGGATAATTGCCTCTGTCCTAAGGCGAGTGGCCTGAGTGACCACAGTATCCCCACAATGAAGGAGTTTGTCTTTGAGGACAGAGTGAATGATGGTTTCTTCTTTGTCTTAGGGTGATCCTAGAGAGTGATCCCCAGCAAGTGGTACACCGGGTGGCATTAAGGGTAAGCAGGAGTGTGCTCCCCTACATCCCCCATCTACTCACCCTCCAGGGCCATACCTGCTAAATGCATCTAAAGGTCAGGGCTTATAGAATACACAGAGCCTTCCCCTTCCTTTTCAAATTCTCATTGTCTCAAAGAGGGGCAGCAGAAGGAGCATACTTTTGCCCCTTACTTGGTACCTAGCATCCCATATAGTCTTTGCACAGAGGGGACATTTAATACATACTTAATTGAATCAAAGATGAATAAAAGGGGCGCCTGGGTGGCTCGGGGCACCTGGGAGGCTCAGTGTGTTAAAGCCTCTGCCTTCAGCTCAGGTCATGATCCCAGGGTCCTGGGATCGAGCCCCACATCGGGCTCTCTGCTCAGCAGGGAGCCTGTTTCCCCGGCTCTCTCTCTGCCTGCCTCTGCCTACTTGTGATCTGTCAAATAAATAAATAAAATCTTTTTTTTTTTAAATATTTTATTTATTTATTTGACAGAGAGAGATCACAAGTAGACAGAGAGGCAGGCAGAGAGAGAGAGAGAGAGAGAGGGAAGCAGGCTCCCTGCTGAGCAGAGAGCCCGATGCGGGACTCGATCCCAGGACCCTGAGATCATGACCTGAGCCGAAGGCAGCGGCTTAACCCACTGAGCCACCCAGGCGCCCCTAAATAAATAAAATCTTAAAAAAAAAAAAAAGATGAATAAAAGAAACTTTAACATTAATGGTTCTGAAACTATAAAGTAACTCGAGGTTGATTAATACTTCCTTTGGGGATGGATCCCAATCTGGTGAGTCAGGGGAGTGTCTTCCTTGTCTTAAAGTCTGAGGACACCACCTCTCTCTCAGGAAGCATTTATTTGCGAGAACTTTAGTCCTCTTTTGACGGTAGTAATATCAGAAAGGGGCCTCTGAGTTAACCATAGATGCCTCCAAGTCTGCTAGGGAGATAATGGTGGGTATATAGAGAACCCATTGGCAAATTGTGGGGTGCAGAGATGTTTAAGCAAATCAAATCTCCCCATTCATAGAATGTCCCAGCTCTGACCTCCACAGAGTGAAGGCTGACAGTGTCGGGTAATGGAAAATCTTCTTCCTTAACTGCCTTGGGCTCCATTTGCATAGTTTAATCTTCTCCTCTAACATATGTCTCTATGTGGCAAGAGAGAGGGTTCCCCCCCACCATCCACTCCCGCCTTCCCCTTCTCAGGCTGCTGTTGCAGCAGTTTATTTCTTCAAATTAACATGCTGTCGTTACCCATCAGGCCTTGCGGGATCCATTAAATTACCCCTGGCTCCCCCTCATCCTTTCCCTAGTGATATTGATATTCAGGGAAGGTCTTCTCTGACTAGGGAATCAGGTCCCCCACCCCCAAGTTGAGGATCAGATAACCTGCTGATTACTTGGAATGGAATAAATCTTTTAAGAAGTCCAACTGCCTTAAAACAGAGGATGGATGAAGTGACCCTTTTCTGCTCACAGTCTCTCTGGCCAAGAAAATTGTGACTGTACTACCTAGAAGGGACTGAGAAGTCAGGCATCTGCGTTTTGCTTCAGTTTAAAGGACCACTTTTTCCTTCTGCACTACTGACTTCAGTCCGGTCTTATCCCACCTTCCTCTCATGCTAAATGTTTGTCTCTCTGTGTCATAGGGCGAAGATGTCCCCCTTACGGAGCAGACCATGTCTCAGGTATGTCTTTCTCTCCACATGGACTGGACCAGTAAAGAGGCTAGATTAGCATTCCACCCCAGCCCAAGTTTGAATGAGTCTAGAGACTGAAGGCACATTTTTCTTGGCTCTAGTCCCCAGAGAACTGGGGACTCATACAGCCAAACACTCCCTACCCACCCAACTCCTATCCCATGTTCCTGTGAGCAGTGGCTGTCAGCCTTGCTCTGTACCCTTCAAACCCTCCCTGTCTGATGCCTCATTCAGTGATTTACTCCCCAGCAGAGGCTTGCCTTAAGCAGATGGTCTGTGTGTGTGCATGCACACGCATGCACACACACACACTCTCTCTCTCTCTCTCTCTCATTATTCAAATGAGGGCTAGGCTGGAAATGTATATTCTAGAGTAAAGCAGGTTTTACAGATCTATCCTGCTACTTTGTGGATAGCTTGTCTACCTGATGTGGGAGGCAAGGGAGGGATTCTGTTTTCTATCTACTTGGAATTCTCACCAAGAAGTCCATCTGGATGTGGTAACTCCTCCTTTCTAACATATGGCCAGTAACCCCCAGTTTTTTTCTCTCCTCCCAGGTATACCTCTTCTCTCTTCATCCCCCCAGTGGATTTGAATTTGTTTGGAATTTCCCAAACTGACAATCCTCTAGGGCCCTAGAGAGCTTCTTCCCATCCCTCTATCCTTGGGGATTTTGTATTTGCCATTCTTCTAAGGACAGGGAAGGCAAGTGAGGGGAAGGAGAGCCCCAATCTCTGTCCTTGCCCTGCCCCCCCAGCAAGCCCCTCAACTGCCGCCCTTGTCCCTGCAGGTGCTGCAGTCAGCCAAAGAACAGATCAAGTGGTCACTCCTTCGGTGAAGACCTCATTGTTCCTGGCTCCTCACCCCCTCAAAAAATCCACACGTCTGCTGTGACTTCTCATCCAGTCCCCCAACTAATGCTCTCAGGATCATCTCGGGGATTACAAGGGACCCTTAAATCTCCATTCTGTCTGGTTGCTTCCCCAAACTCCAATGTATGCTTCCTATCCTTTCTCACTTTTTTGTAGTCTGGGAGTAAAACTCCCAGCAGATTCTAAACGCAGGGTAGGGGAAGCACCCTTTTCCTTTTTACACTGGATTATGCTCTCATACTCTCCTACCCCGCATATTTTCTTCTCAACTTTTGTGCCCTTTGCTGCAGTTACACTTGAGATCAAAGCAGGAGAAAGAATGTGCTGAGCGTTTTCCTCCCTTTGCTGGGGAGGCCCTTCATCCCAATAGCCTTCATCCCAATAGCCCATATGTTAGCAAGGGGAGGAAGAGAGAGAATTCTTTTCCATAGGATGAATGGGGGTGGCATATCCAGTCTCAAGCTACAGCCCCACTTTAATTGGCCTCAGCATTTCCTCCCATCCCTTCTTACTGCCCTGTCCTCCAGCCTTGGAAAAAGGATTGGGAACAGCTAATGGGCTGGGGACAGAATGGAAGAAGCAGGGATTTAAGTTTTATTGGATAGGGCTTATAAAATTCTGTTTTTCAGTCACAGCTGCATTCTTTAGCCTGATCCTGGCTTATAGCTTCAAAACCACTGTGGTTTGTGAGTGTTCATTTTAGGAGCGTCCGTCTCCTGGTCCACTACCTTGACTCTCCACCTTCCCTACCCATGGGATCTTGGCCTGGTTTGTCCTTGCTGTGCCCTGGAGCAGAGCCAGTCCCTGAACTAAAACTCCATTTTAGTCTTGGGAAGAAGAGTTTTTGCTCAGAACTGGGGAGGGGTGGGATTTATGACTTGGGCCTCTGGGCTGTGTCCCCTTCACTCCCCCACATGCATTTCACTCCTCTGCCCTGGGTCTGCAATCTCTGCCGCTTAACCCTATCTTCTCTCTGTCTCAGCCTTACATCCAGGAAGTAGGTCTGCACTCCTTCCCCCCCTAGGTCGCTGAAAGAGGTCCCTTCCCTCAGAAAACCTTTGGGATTTGGATTTCCCAGGAAGATGGAGGTTGGAACACCCACTCATGGGTCTAATCTTTCCCCTTGACCGGAAACTTCCCACAAAAATGTCTCAGAAAAACCTTCCTGAGACTTAAGCCTTCTGTCCCACCCACTAACTGCCAGTTCTCCAAGACTGAAGTGGGGTGAATACTGGGCATATTTGAGGGAGCATTTTTGTGTACGAGATGTATGGAGTCAGGAGATCGCCACCTTCATATACGGCTCTGTGCAAAGAGGAATAAAACAGATTTCTTTTTCCAAACTGCCTTTGTGTGATGTTTCTGTTCCTCTTCCTCTCTTTTTGGCAGCTGCTTCTGTTCCTCCAGCACCCCCCCCCCATCGCTCCCCATCTTATAATATTTCTTCCCTCCTACCTCAGAGACTCCCCAGCATTCCACCCCCCCATCCCTAATTTACGGGGCTGTTTGCCTCCTTGGCATCCCTCCGTCCCCTCGCCTGGAAATTGGCGCCAGGGGTGGGGTGGGGGTGGTATTTTCTCAGTGGGAGTCCCAGGGAACTGAGTGCTCCCCCCCACCACCCCAAAGCCAGCTGCCTGCTCCCGCCTCAGCCATTAGTAACCCGGAGACGCGCACCTGCGTGGGGGCTCTCCTCAGCCCCTGCTCCCTTCCCGCACCTCCCACTCCTGCTCTGAAATGGCGCTGAGCGGGTTATTTATCGGAGCCAGCGCTGCTCCAGAAGGTCAGGACGGTGGTGTAAATAACCTCTTCTCGCCATTTCCCCGTCCCTCCAGAGCCTGCTCCCCTCCCCCTCCTCCACCTTTATTCGCACAAATGAATGTGGCTGGGCTGGCGAGGAGCCTGGCCCTGCATCTTAATGGGGCGGTGAGCTCACAAGATGGATTTAGCTGGGGGTTTTATGGTTGCCGCGGCGACAGGAGAATGCTTTGGTTTTCTTTCCCCCTTCCTCTGCAGGATTTTCAGGAGGGGGGAGCGTGGGGAGCCCTCCTCTGCACTGCAGTTTTGAAGGGTCTCCTCAGTCACCTCCACAGCTCCTAAGATGGGCCTGCAATTCCAGGAGTAAGCAGGAAACCACATTAGGACCTCAGGAAAGGATGAGGGAAGGAAGGTAAAAGGAGTGGGAAGCGCCTCTCCAGCATGGAGACATGAAACCGAGTTGTCCAGTCTTGCCTGCTGTATGAGAACCTGGCAATTACAGCTCATCAGCTGTGGGGCACCTTGGCCCAGAATCCCCCCTCAGCAGGTAGAAAACAAAGAAAATGCTTGGGTTATCAGCCCCGTAGTCCTGCCTTGAAATTTGGGGTACAGGGGGCTGGATGAGGCTAGGGATCTTTGTTTTTGCCTGTCCGAGATGGGGAAAAGGCAGTGTCCAGCCTTACTGTCTACTTAATACCCAGTACAGATCCTGGCTGGGGAGGTCATGTCAGTGTGAGAGCTGGGGTAGGAGGGTGGTGGTGGCAGATCAGTGACCAGGTGGAGAATAGAGTTCTACCCAGTTCTCAAACTTGAAATTCTCTGAGCTTGTTTCCCCAGCCTGCCTGGTTTGAACTTTTCCGTCTTCTCTGTTTCCCACGAGGAATGCAACTCTGGTGGCCTGTCCTATCCAGACCTTTGGCCAGCAATTTTCTTTCACAACTATGAGCAAACCCTTCTCCAGCACTGACTAAAGCAGAGACTGGGGAGCAGGGTCTGATTATCTCCCTCCTTTGGTCTCCGTCTGATTCTGGGCCTCTGGGTCTCTGTTTGTAAGCTTTTCCCTTCTCCCCAGGGGACCCTGGGAAGCCCCCTCCTCCCCTCTCCCCCTTCTTTCCCTTTGGCTGGGAAAGTGACTGGAGCCTGAACAGTGCCAGACACCTGCCTGCCAGATGTGGCGATTCCCCATTCTTCTTTCCCCCTCCCCAAATGTCTATCCTTTACCCACCCCACTGAGCTCAGGCAGAGAGAGCCCCCCACAGAGTGATTTAGTGCTGCAGCCCCTCTTCCTCAAGTGCCCCCCTCCAGCTCCTCTCCCTTCCCCTGGTGCCCAGGGGGCCCCCCCTTTTTTTTCCACTGTGTCCTGCAGATGGCTTCCTGGTACAGCCCCCTCCTACTCCACCCTGGGGTGCCGGCATGTATAAGCCCCAGCTCCTGGGCTGGAGAATGAATGGGTGGAGCAGAGGTGACTGGCCTCTCTTTCACCCATGGGAGAGTACATCAGCAGGGCTAAGGACAGTGGCAGCCAGAGCTGATGTCATTTGCACTGGTGGCTAGGGGAGGTGTTAGGGGAGGAGGAGGCAAGTGGGGAGGGAACCAGCACTCTAAGACTGTCTGCCGAGGAGAAAGAGGTCTGTGAGACCTCACGTAGGCAAGAGAGCCCAGAACCGTGGCTGCCTGGTGAACATCACATCTTAGTTTCTCTGGCTGGGTCTGTAGATCCTGTTGCTGGTTCTTTGTCTCGCTATGATTCAGGAGATGCCCCTCAGCTCCTCCCATTCAGACTGACCCAAAATACACTTAAAGGGAACCCTTAGTTCTTACCCTCCTCTCCTTAGTGTTTGCTCTTCTGTATCTTTTCTGTCTTCCATTCTTTCATCTTTTCTCCCTTAGTTGAGCTTCTCTGATGGTCATCTGGCTTCCCTGTCCCCCCTTCCATCCCATAACGTAACACAGTATGGTCCAAGACCTGCCACCGAAGTAGGGCCTCGTTCAGAGCCTCTTTTCTCCTTCTCATCCCTCTGAGGCTCTGGGGTGGCAGTTGAGGTACTGGGGAATTGATGTTCTGAAGAGCAGCAGAGGCAGGACAGGTGGAGAGTTCAAGGAAATAGGAGAGGGGGGAGTAAGATAGAAGCGTAGTGAGAGAGAAAAAGTGACTGAGAGACAAAGAAGCAGAGGTTGGGAGTTAGCAGAAAAGCCAGCCTAATGAACTAGGAGAGTGAGAGAAGCAACACAAGAAAGAACAGCAAACCTGGGAACAGAAAATAATGGAAAGATGGAGATGGGAAAGTCAAGCAAGAGGAGGCAGCTAGGGATGGCCAGCCCAGGGGCAGGCTGGCTCTCTTGGGCTCCCTCATGCTGGTGGGCCATAAATCTTAGATGTATGCATGCATGTCTGTCTGTCTGTCTGTCTCAGTGTGTGCATGCACAGCACATTGTGTATGGGTCTGGTGGGGATAAGTTTGATTCTCACAATATTCTCATTCCTTCCTTGAAGCACCCCACACCAACCCCCACCCCCCATTATTTCTGATTTCCCGGGGGGTCATTCCCAAGGTACTTCTACATCGTAAGAATCCTGACTTGCTTCCTCGGAATGCTGGCCTGCTGGAATGTGCAGTCAGGATCTGTAGAATCAAGAGAAGAGGCCCCATCCCCTCGCTGCCCACCCCCAGTGCCTGCTCACCAGCTGCTCCTGTCCATCTTCTCCTCCCACTTTCCTTGTGTCTCTCCTCGCTCCACGCTGACCCCTCCCCCAGCCTCTGACCCCCAGCGCCTGGGGCCCAGGGTTGGAGGGGGAGACAAAGACAGGATTTATCATCAGGACAGAGAAGCAGCCAGAGACCAGGGCTGAGGGCAATGGCTGACCTCCTTGGGATGGGAGGGAGTGCTTGGCCAGATGCTGGGAGGCTGGGAGCCTGGGTTCTAATGGTTCTGGCTCACAACCTCCAACTTCTCTCACTCTGGCCTTGTTCTCTCTCTGGACCCTGAAGACTTAGGAAACAGAGAGAAGATGGCCTTGAGGTGATTTTAGGCCTCTGAATGAAAACCTGGGAAGAGGGAAGAGAGGGTCTTTATCTTATGGATACTGAGGAGGATTGGGAAACCAGGGAGCAATCAGGCAGCAGTTTCCAGGACTAGCAAGGAGTTCAGGTTTAGCATGGCAACAGATGAGACAGAGAGGGACTTCCTTTAATATAGAAGGACTTGTCCAGAAAAGGCCCTGACTGCCAGTAGAGAGAGAGAAATGTCATTGTGGGTCCTGAAAGACTTGCTTGAACCTAAGGAAGACACAGAATTCCCCAAGGGTTGCTAGTTCCAACACTACTGAGAAGGCCT